TTGGAGCTGAGTTTCTGGTCAGTATAACCTAGGTCCTTAGTTAATTGTCTCCAAGCAATAGGTAGAGTAGTCCAGCTTCCCAACTATGCAAGGGTAGGTTCAAACAATGCAATAAAGTTTTCTCACACTTCCCACAACTGAATAAAGTTTTCTCACAGGACAGAAATTGTACTAGGTTCATAATTGAATAGAAAGGGAGCAGAGCTAGCTCCAGAACTGAGTCACAAGGTGGAGTTGGTGTGGTTTACTCAATTGCCACTACTACTTGCTGTCCTCAATTCCTCCACCTCTTTCTCCATGTGTAGCACATTACATGTGAGGATTCATGTGTGAGCAGGGCTCTAAAAGACATTATCAGTGACATTAAGGACAAAGAAAAGGTCAACTAGAAAAAAAGATGGCCTGGTATTGTAAAAATAACTAATATATAAATAGTACTTTTGTAAAACACCATATATGCATATATGCATATACATATACACATGTGATATATATACACATATATTATGCTGCATACACATGTGTATAAATAGATTAAAGGAAGATGGATGATAAAGGGATAGATAGATAGACAGATAAGACAGAGAAATAGATATGTAGGGTATCCCAAAAGTTTTAGTGCAGTTTTAAGCTTAAAGCTGCACAAAGATTTTGGGGAACCTCCATATATGTAAGTAGGTCTTCAGCAAAACTGAAGGTCTGTGGTCCCTAAAAGACAAAGACATTGAAATGTAAGAGGCAAAGTTTTCTGATACAAAATAAACAGACCTCTCCCAAGAAAGGATGGAGGAGTTGAATAGCTCATTTACATATAAAGAGGACAATGAACTTGCTTCCAGGGCATAAACTGAATTCCTACTTTGGTCCCTAGTCACTCATCTGCACAAGATTTCCAAAGGACTCTGGGTAAGACCGAATTGAGACTAATCATCTTAAATTAGGGGTTCTTAACCTAGGGTCCATGGACCCTGTGGAAATTTTTAGGGAAAATGTGAACTTTGAAGGGAAAAAATATATCTTTATTTGAATATGATAGTATATATTTTATTTTAATCATTTAAAAAACATTATTCTGATCAGACTGTCAAAGGGGTCCATAATACACAAAAAAAGTTAGAACCAATTCCCCCAAGCCAAGGTAGAACAGTTTACTGAGGGAAAGGATTTGGTGAACCAGGAAAGGGTCATCAAAGTACCTCAGTTTCTTTATCTGTAAAATGAAGAGAGTGAACTAAGGTTCCTTCCAGCTCTAAGTCTATGGTCCTATAAATGTCCGCCTTCACTCTCTAGAGCCTCTTCATAATGACACACTCTAGACACACATGCATTTGTGTTTCTACATACATTTCCTCTTTATTTTGTCCATCTTCCAAATAAATGAGTAGTTTCAATTTATCAAGTAACCTTTGAAGCCATTACTTGTGGTAGCGATTCAGCTTTGAGCTCATGTCCTCAGTATTTTTCAAAGGAAAGACACTTTCTGTTGTCTAATTATACTACAAAATCAATTTGTGTTATTCAGATAGCAGAGGTGATTCCACCATTTTGAATTTCTGCTTTTTAAAAATCCATATTGCAATTAGTAACATCATATGGCACTCTATTACTGCCACCTAGTGGTCTCATTACCCCAATTGTAAATAGTCAGATTTTTATCAACATTTGGTCTTATCCACATTAAAACTGTGCCATATTTAAAAGCTATACTTATACTGCCTTGTGAGTATGTCTGTTCCCTTTTAGAGGACCACATAATCTCTTCTAGGGCTGACTTCTTGTTCCACCTGGGCAGAACACTTTTGAGGCCTGATGTCTTTCTATCTTGTTCCCCACCTACTGCTTTTAGCTACATTCTACTAGCTCAAAATCTTTCATTTTGAAGTTAAATATCATTGCATTAAATCTTGAGTGCCTTTGACTGCAAAATATAACACGCTTAACTGGTGCTGACGCTCAAAAGGAATTCTGGATGACTGTCATATGACCAGAATGCAAGGACCATATTGGTCATAGTTACCTCTGTTACTTGTACTGCTTTTAAAATGCACCGTGGCATCTTTGGAGGAGGAAATGGCAAACCACTCCAATATCTTTGCCAAGAAAACCCCAGATGGGATCACTAAGAGTAACACATTTAGTCCACTAGACAACAACAAATGGCATCTTTAAAAATTGTAATTGTTAAGAACCTTACCCGTGCAACTGTTCCATAAAGCAACCCCTACTGTGCTGCAGAACTGCAAACTCTATGCTGAGCCTTGTCCCAGAAGAGACCAAAAATTGGAAGTGTACTGTTTCATTATCACTGATGCTACAAGAAGCTTGGAATCAAGTGACATATCCCAATGAGAGCTGAAGCAAATTTGGTCTGTCCAAGAAAACAGGAAAAAACTATCCAATTTTACTGTATTAAGGACTTTTATACCACCTACTTCCAAAAAGGATTTGAGTTACTTTTAAAAATAAACATAACTGGGGCAGCTAGGTGGCACAGTGGATAGGGCACCAGCCCTGGAGTCAGGAGGACCTGAGTTGAAATCAGGCCTCAGACACATAACATTTACTAGCTGTGTGACTCTAGGCAACTCACTTAACCCCAATTGCCTCACTAAAAAAAAATTAATAAATTAAAAAAAACAAACATAACTGCCACTCCCAAAACAAAAACAGAACAAAATCAAGCAAAAGGAGTAGAGGAATAGATGTTAACATACTCATGAACGATATAGTTAAACAAAGTAAACAATGACTGCAAAAATGTAATGAGAAGAGCAATCAATTTAGAATCACAACATCTGGGTTTGAATCCTGGCTCCACTGTGATCCTGGGCTCACTTAACTTCTTTTTAGCCTTACTTTTCTAGTCAATAAAATGGGGATAGTAAAATTTGTGCTAATTATCTCATAGGGTTGTTGTCAGGAAAGCACTTTGTAAAATGTAATTTCTGTATTATATTTGTACCTATTTTTGTAAAACATAAATTCTGTATTATATGAGTTATTGTAACTATCATGATTTTCTTAAAATCATGGCTATGAGAGTTGCCCAAACAACATGGAACCATTTCTGGGTATATTTTGTGGTTCAGTTCCAAGCTCACCTTGAGGTTCTTACCCTCAGCAAGATCAGTAAGCTGATAGCTCGCCTCTACAAAGCATTTTAGGGTTTGCAAAACATTTTATAGACATTATCTTAATTAAGGCTCAGAATAACAGTGTTAGGCCAGTGCTATCATTACCTTACTTTACATAGGCTTGAAACCCAAAGAATTTAAGTGACTTGCTCATTGTTAGGAGTAGACCTAACACCAGCAGCATCCTGTTAGAAGAGGTTAATACAGATATGAAATGAGACACTTGTAAGTCATCAAACAGTTACCAAAAGAAGGTTTACTTTTCACCAATATAGGAAGAATAAAATGGAACTTGGTTTTTATAGAAGGGGCACCCCCTCATATGACTCATATTTGGAAACTTGCCAGGTCAGCAGAAGGGCAGGATATAATGACTGGCATTGTCTTCAGATATCCACCAAGTAAGAAAGATCCATGTGGGTGGAACTTTTTACTTCCTTGAGTGATCAGAAATCTGGGTCAAGGGAGGCAGGACTCCAGGGAAAATTAGGTTTGGGGAGTAGCTTTGTCACCTTTTAGGGAAAACTCCTTTTGTGGGAGGAGTGGGAACCCTGATTGACATTGGTCATATCACACCAATGATCACACAGCTAATAAAATATTTGAAACAGGATACTTACTGAGGTGTGCTGCAATTACTGGCTCTTACTGGCTCTTGTTAAATTTTCAGTGTGAGTATTTACAGCTCAGAAATCAGCAAATGCTACAAATCAGGGCTTGATTTAGTGTTCTGTTTGTTGATTGTCTAGACCTAAGAAAGGATTGTAGAAAGTGTTAATAATGCAGATTAAACCTAAAAGTCAGTCTCGTACCTTTTCCCCCCTAGACAGCAGGCTAAAAATTCACTAGTGCACCCTCTGATTGCATCCCAGATCTTTTTGTCTCAAAGTCCAGTGCTCTATCTACTACGCCTTACAGCCCCTAAAACTGTTCATACCAAATCTTTTCCCCAGTATGTTAGAAACCTATAGAAAAGTTTTCATTCCTTACTAGAAGTAGGCTTTGAATAATGTGAATGTTAGTATTTTAATAATTTCTTGATTTTTAAGATCAATTCAAATATGACCTCCTAGTATCTGCTCTAAGATCATTAAAACAGCATTCCCATTCCCATTTTACAGATCAGGAAACTATAAACCAGAGACTTAAGGAATTTGTATCAGAACTATGGTTGTAACATGGGTATCTTTTTTTCTGCTCTGGAGTCCTCAATTAAATCTTCCTTGATCATTCTGGTATTCTGGACCATGCTTCCCAATTTGGATATATCAGGATCACTCTTTTATACAATCCAGTGAAAAAAAGAGCATAAAAAGATCACATATGTGTCTTCATACATATGTGTATATGTGTGAACATGAATCACACCTCACACCTCAGGAGCTAACTACAGTGAGTTCTTCATGATTCCAGGCTTGGTTATCCGCATTATGCATTAGCCAGGTGTCTTCTTTCCTCTCTGTCTCCCTCTGGCCATCTCTCTCACTTTTTTCTGTTTCTTTTCTGATTAGTAATTTTCCAAGACAGTAGAAAGGGCAAGGAAAAGGCTATGAAACTCAGATTGGGCAGTTTGGATAACAGCTCAGGTAAAAGGTTTGACAGGAAATGAGGTTGAAACTAATAGCTAAAATGAAATGTCCGGTTCATCAGTAGATTGCAGCTATCTTATCCTCCATTACTGTGGGTGGCTATAAAATAGCTGCAGCTGATCACCCTAACCCCCACAGTTCTATGATGCTCCTTTTTTTTTCTTCTTTTTTTGCTAAATTAGTGAGATCCTCTTCAAGGACATCTGATGAAGCAGGGCAAAAGCCTGGACATTGTAAACATCTTCAATGACTTTGCTTGGTTTTTTTTTTTTTTCAGTTTGCAGTGATGACCTCACTCACAAATTCAAAGGCTTCACAGTAATGAATGAAACAGAAAGATATGAGGCCCTCAGGCACTGTCGTTATGTAGATGAAGTCATCAGAGACGCTCCATGGACACTCACACCAGAGTTCCTAGAAAAACACAAGGTATTTTTCATTCATCCCTATACTTTCCATGGGAAGCTATGGACTCCAGTAGTTGACAGGTCAAGTTAATGCTTAAAGACCTTGTGTCCCTGGAAGGTGCTTATACATACATGAGATTTCTTTAACAGGGACAAAAAGGGGGAAATTTGTTTGGTCTTCAGAAAATTATATGGTTTACATCCCCTACCAGCCCTGTGTGAGGAACTGTGCTCTGCCTTTGTGTGTATTAAAAAAAAAATAAGGTGAAGTTCCATTTGAATGATTTTTCTATTTTTAAACTAGCTACACATAAAAGAATGAGAAATAAGCACTGATGTGTGTGTGTGTGTGTGTGTGTGTGTGTGTGTGTAATAGCAGGAAAATCAAACAATTTTCTAGTGAGAAGGAAAGAAAAGGGGAAACTACAAAATTATTCTCTCCAATCAATCCTGAGTATTTATTTGGCACAATTACAGGCTCAGCCCATGCTTGGCATGATGGGGGATACAGATGAAGTACGGCCTCAAGGAGCTTACTGTATCCTTAACTTGACAAAACTGACATACATAAAATAAAAGTGAGCAGTACAAGGCAATGTGTATGTAACTGGAGTGCTCAGTTGTGTTGGTACAGTTTAGAGAATGAGATCAGTACATCTGCTACAAATTATAGTCTTAGAGAGTCACCCAGAACACTGAAAAGTTGAATGATTTGCCCAGGTCACACCATCAGGATGAGTTGGAAACAGGACGTGAACCCAGGTCTTCCTACCTTCAAATCTGGCCCTCCATCTACTAAGCCATGTTGCTTCTAAGTTAACTATAATATGAAGGATGTGCTGTAGTGTGACATATTAAAAAGCTTGAAAGAGATAGTTTCTGGGCAATTAATCATTTTATTAATGATGGTAGCGTGTTATTAATAAAAGGATGGTCATTTGGCCATCTTCTTAGACCAAAGACTCCTCATGGAACTCACTGCTTATATACCTTTAGAAGAGTGGGTGTTTTTGAGGGTGGAAATCAACTCTGATTGGTTAACAACTAATGAGAGAATAAATATCATAAGGAGAAGTAGACCTATTCTAATGAGGGTCTGGGGTACGTGACTTTGATTACTCAGTTTTGGTCAAAGAAAATTATCTGTATCCATATCATCGGCCTGACAAAAAGGAAAATCCACATTTCCCCAGACCCGTCTAAGTGAGACGCAGTAGGCTGGAATCCGTCAATTCACCTAACTTTATATTTTGAACAGACCTGAATCTTCCTCTCACTATCAGCCCTGCACTACAAGGTTTTCCTGAATAACCTACAGGGGCTGATTTCTGAATGAGGAAATAGAAAAGGGGAAAAACCCTTGGTCCTAATTCAATAATTACTTACTAAATACAAGAGAGAAATAATTATTTCTCTCATTAGTAAAGATGCATAATGCTGTAGGGGTTTGGAGGACCAAGAGAACACACTGTCCTGTGTGGACACATTTGACACATTTGGTGGGGGTCAGGTGGGAGGGATGGAGAATTTAGAAAACCTTCATAAAGAAGGTAGCATTTGAGATGGACCTCAAAGGATGAGTAGGATTTTGACAGATCACAGAAAGAAAACAAACAAATAAACAAAATCCTAAATTTTGAGTGTGGTGTCATGGATAGAATACTTAGAAGCCCTGAGTCCAAATTCTGTGCTCTAACTTACTAACTGAGTGACCATGGGCAAGTCATGTAGCTTCTCTGAGCCTCAGTTTCCTCACCTGTAACTTGAAAATGATATCTCACTGACCTCAGAGGGACGTTGTGCAGTTTAAGTGTGATTAGTACTTTACAAAATGTAAAGCCCTATGTAACTGTCTGTTACTATTAGTTGGGGAAGGAATGGAAAAATTTGAATAAGCAAACTGGAACCAGACTATTGAGGGCCTTGAAAGTCAGTCATAAAGTTGTCAATGCCTTTTGTTTGCTTGTTTTAACAAGCAATGGCATGGAGAAGGCATTGCTTTTAGGAATATTCCTATCCAACATCAGCATACAGGATAGATTACAGGGAAAGCGAGAAGTAAGAAAGGCCAGTTTGGAGGCCATTGCAGTCACTCAGGCATGAAGGGAGGAGGGTCTGGACTGGGGTGTCAGTGACTACAAAGGAAAAATAGGCAAGAAAGATATTTTGAAGTAAAATAAGCAGGAATTAGTGACTGACTAAATGAGGGAGATGAAGGACAAAGACGAATTGAATTTGACTTCAAGATTTTGGGCCTGAGTATATGGAAGAATAGTTGTGTCAAGATGTATTTGGTTTTTGACACGTTGAATTGGAAATGATAGTGGGGTAGTCTATAATGGAAAAAGTCAGAAATCATAAGACCAGATTCTATTAATTTTCCCCTACCTTTCTCTGCACCAACCAGATGTGTAACAAGGTGCAAATCACCTAATCTGTCTGAGCCTCAGCTTCCTCATTTCTAAAATGGGTATGATGATACCTACAGGCCAGGGTGGGTCATGAGGGTCAAATGGGAAAAAGAATGTGAAAGTGATTTACAGTCTGGATCCCACTGATTTTGATGAAAATAAAGAGTACAAAAAGTCTTTGATGACAGGATTCTGACTACAAATATGAATTTCAAATTCAGGTGCCTAATACCAACGAAGTATTTCCCCAACCTCTCTCTCCCCAAGACTCGAGGTACCGCTTCCCCCACCTCCCAACTCAGCGGTGATATTTCCCTTTCTCTTTCCTGCACAGATTGATTTTGTGGCCCATGATGACATTCCATATTCCTCTGCTGGTTCTGATGATGTTTACAAGCACATAAAGGAAGCAGGTGAGGATTCTTTTGTGTTCCAATTCACACCACCTCATCACCATAGGCACCCACAAGGTGCCAGTCATATTTGCATATATAAAGGCACAAATGAAACCTGAATATTTGAGGGTAGGATTCCTTATCTAAAAATGACCAGATAAAAATCATTTAGAACAGTGGTCACCCAAATAGAGGCTGCTCATGACTTAAATAGTAGATTACATCCCACTCCCTCCTGAAATAGTCGATCATGAGCTTCTCTCCAACGACAATAATAACACCCCATTCTTCCCTTACGGCTCAACACTTCTTCAGTCATCCTACCCCTATCACCTGCCGCTGGCTTCCTATGCCTGAGAGTCAGCCCATTAGGGCAGTTACAACACAGCCACAACCCAGGCACCTATAGTAGTTGTGACAGCAAAATTCTCTGCCCCTAGCCTCTGGCAAATCCACATCCTGTCCCCTAGATCAATTTGTGGCTTTAGCAGGTGCTGGGCTCTGTGCTCTGATATAGAGGCTGGTGAGTAAGAGCCACCTCTTCTCCTGCGTCCCCCTACCGTCAATACACACTTCAGATTTTAGTGGGACAGTGAGTTTATTCAGGATGAGCAGGCAGGAACAAAATGTGATCTGCATCACTGATCTCATATTATCTTCCCCTCCACCCCCACCCCAATCCACCCTTCTTCCAAATTTCCCTATTCCTCTTGAGGGCCCTACTATTCTCCTAGTCACTCAGGGTCATGACCTCTGGGTTGCCTTCAATTCCTCTTTCTCCTTCACCCCTCATATCTAATCAATTGTTAAATCTGGTCTTTTATCAAATCAAATGATCAATCGAGATAATATTTGTAAAGTACTTGGCACAGTGCCTAGCACACATTAGGCACTATATATAAAAGCATATTTCCTTTCCTTCCCCTCCTCTTCTTTCCTTACCTCCACAGTATCACTCACCTCTCTCTTTTCTCTGTTCACACACCATCATCACCTCTTGACTGCTCTATCAAAGTCATATCCAAATTAGTCTCCCTGCCTTAAATGGAAAGTTAATTTGGCAGATGTATAATGGATGGATCAGAGAGGGGAGAGATGAGGTGGCCAAGTAAGAGACTATTTCAGTATTCCAGCTGAGAGGTAGTGTCTGAACTAGGGTAGTGACTGTGTGAATGGAGAAACATATATGTGAGAGGTATTGTGGAAGTAAAAAGGACCAGATTTGGTAGGCGGGAGGGAGAATGAGAAATCAAGGATGACATCAAGGGTGGAGTAAGAAGGTAGTCTTCTGGGGGCATGGTAGAAAAAGTCTAGATAGTTAGGAATGAAGTCTGGAGAGGAATAAAGGAAGACATGCCTGGCCTGGGCACTTTTCTTTAAATGGAGGTTCTTGGAGGTCAATCAGGGGAGGGTTCCCAGGAGTAGAGTATACTTCCAGAGTGAGAAGTCTAGGGATAGAGTAACTTCCAAGGTGGAAGCCTCAGTAGCATGGTAAAGAAAGTCCAAAGAATCAAGAATGGACACCAGAGGGGAATGGAATGACTGGAGGTCATAATGAGGATGAAGATTAGGAGTGCAGCCAAGGGAGAGATAGAAGATAGAAAGTTAAACTGTGAGAACGGCTGAACAGCGATGGGTGATAGTGAGGTCAAAGGGATGGTCACTCCTGGAAGTGACTTAGGTGACATGAAATTGCTGAGCATGGGAGTGGAAGAGGGTGATGAGCTTGAAGGTCAAAGTGTTTGATCTTGGCACTGACAGACACTCCTCTGATCTGAATTTGCCTTTTGCTTTGGTCCCCTCAGTTCATGACTACATTGCTTCTGGCCTCCAACATTTTGGAACTTTTTCAAATGAGATAACATTTGTAAAAAAGCGCTTAGCACAGTACCTGGCACATAATAGGTGCTATGTAAATATTTATTCCCTTCCTTTCCCCCTTTTTGGTTAATGTTTTTCTGGGTTCCCTGGCTCCAGAAACCAATAGCCTGTGCCACGAGAAACTCTCAGTCCCTACTCATGGCCTCTGGACCCTCTGGACCCGTGTCCAGACCTCATGTAACATCCTGTTCTGTCTTGTCAGAGAGCTAGAATCTGAAGAAATCATTTTATGCTTTTTGAAAAGATTCAATTCTTACCCACAACGTAAATCACCAGGAAAGACCTATCTTATTATAGCTATGTCTTTCAATCATGTGATGATAATATCCTCAAGAACTGCAAAGGGAGGCAATAAATGCCTGCTAATGGGAAAGTACTGAAAAGTGATGGCCTGGAAGAACAGATATGATAAGAAAAACATTGATTTAAAGCCAGAAGATACTTTAGTGTCTATGAGGTCATCTCAGTTTTAGGAACATAGATTTATAGACCTAGGTCTGTTAGGAACCTCATAGTTCATTTAATCTAATCCTCTCATTTTATGGATTAGTAAACTGAGGCACAGGAAAGTAAATGACTTGCCCAAGGTCATATTGACAGTAAACATCAAAGGCTAAGTTTCTCTTTCCACTGTACCATGCTGCCTCCATGAGAGGGATAGAATCTTTTTTTTCAGTGCAACAATTCCTCTGAATTGTCTTGTGAGTTTTTCAATGTTGAATGGTATCAATATGTTTTATTGCCATGGAGCGCATGTTTTCGTTTAACATTATTGCTTTTTGATTCTCCTAGATTGTTCTTCACTTTCATGTATTTGCCATTCCCACTGATTTATCTTCTCTTTTGTTTCTTTGGTGAAACTTGCCTTTATGGATTAGTTTTTCTGTTTCTGCCAATTATTTCTAAGTGCAGGTCACACATTCTTATTTTACAATTTTTTTTCCTCTTTTGAACCTTTTTTTTCTCTATTGAACCATTAAGGAGTCTCTTGAGATGGTTGCATGCTCCCTTGGGAATCCACAAGGTCCCATAAGTTTACTTGCCTCAGTAGGTGCTGTTTAATTTTCCTTCATCTTGCAATATTTATTCATAGATGTCTAAACATACTTAAAAGAAGTATGGACCATGTTCCCTTTGGTTATTAATATCTTCTCTGTTGGTTTATCTGCTTGTGTTCAAAGTATTTGATTTAATTTCTTTTCTTCCTGAGATATTTGCTAATTTTTAGTCTGTTTACTTTTATTCTGCTACTGTTCTTTTTCAGACTCCTTCCCTTTGATAGTGGTTTTCTGGTAGTTGGACCTCAAAGCCATTTCAGCCTCCTTCAGTTGGGATCATTTCGAGGGTGTGCTCTTTCCCTCAGCCTTAGTAGAGTGCCACACAGTGACACGTGTCCTGTCCCAGTCTTCTCTGTTCCTCAGTTATTGGAACAACAATCAAAAGAGTAAAAATAACCAACAATAGCAGCTCTTTTGTGAATCTTGTGAAAAGCAGCCTCTGAAGCATACCCCTCACCAACACTGTTCTTTTAACTGCACTGATTTCAATCAATCATATCATGGGGCGTCAGATAATCAACTATGTATTAAAGTAGTCATTGCTAGAATAGTTTCCTAAACTCCAAATTGCATTAATTTTAATTCATCTTAAATGAGTTAATGATAGATAATTGAAATTGTGATATTATTACTTAGTGGTGTGCTGGAACACTAGCTCATGAGAGCTGACTGTTAAATTTCCAGTGCAAGCATTTGCATCTCAGAAATCAGCAAATACTGCAATTTAGGGCTTGATTTATTATTTTGGTGATTGTCTAGGCTTAAGGAAGTGAGAGAGAAAATGTTAATAATGCAGATTAAGCTTAAAAGTGTGTCCTGTATACATTTTTTTAGACAGCTAGTTATTAAACATTTACCAGCATACCTCTGCCCATATCCAGTTGAAAATAATCTCCGCATAACAAGATCTTTAAAATAAGAGAATTAGATTAGATGATTTCTAAGTCTTCTTTCAGTTCTATGATATTATGAATCTAAATAGTATTATATTATGTGAATCTAAGTAGGATTATATTATATACCTGACCATCCTGTCCTGAGTAAAAGGCTTTCTGGTCGTAGTTGTCATTCGCTTCCCTTGCTTTTCCATCTCCACTTCTATTCTTCTCTATTTCTTGTAAGTTGGGGGTCTTGGACCACAAGGAAGTGTGTCTGGAAAAGCTTTGGGGAAGAGACTGGAATAGGAATTTTGATTTAAAAAAAAAGAGGAAGGGAAAGGGAATTGGTGGTTAGTGGGATTTTTTTTTAATCTTACTATATTAAGTTAACTTATACGAATACACATGCATGGTGGAAATAACACTGGACTTGGAGTCAGGAAAGACCTGAATTCAAATCCTTGCTTTCATCCTTACTATTACATGAACTAAGAAAAGTCACTTAATTTCTGTGAGCCCAAATATTCCTACCTGTAAAGTGTGGATAATACTTGTAATAACTATCCCATCAGGTTGTTCTGTAGAAACTTTTATAAGCATGAAAACATCAAATAAATGTGAATTACCACTATTATTAATATTAGTAGTCATACAAATCAATCAACAAGCATTTATTAAATATATAGTATGTACTAGGCACTGGGGATACAAAGACAAAAATGAAATAGTACCTGCTCTCAAGGAACTTATATTCTATTGGGGGAGGCAATACAGATGCACATAAATAAAAGAATAGGGACAGGGACTGATTGTAATTTTGTCGATACAGGAAATTTCCACTTGAGGAATTTTCCTCTGACAATGCAGGTCAGTACCTTAACCCTGTTTGCCTCAGTTCCTCATCTATGAAATGAACTGAAGAAGGAAATGGCAAATCACTTCAGTATCTTTGCCAAGAAAACCCCAAATGGGGTCATGAAGAGTCAGACACAACTGAAATAACTGAACAACAACCACAATACATATATAAATATATATATATACATACACATATATGTATGTGTATATATATATACATGTGTGTGTATATACACATACATATATGTGTATATATACAAATGTGTATATGTGGATATACATACATATGTGTATAAATGTACATGTACACACATGTGTGCATATGTAAACATAAATAGGTGGG